GAGAAAGGAGGGGAGTTGGCTGGGGGTGGGATCCCTCCTGCCTTCGGGAAGTTGAAGTCTTCCTGGGACAATGGTGCTGGCTGTGCCTCTGGGCTTGGCTTTGGGGGGAGTTCTGCAGACAAGCCCTGACTTAAAGTGGTTTATGGCGGGGGGGTGGGTCCCCCAAAACCAAGGGTCAGCAGGAGATCCCTGGCCTGTCTGGCCTGTCTGCTTGGGAAGCTCTAACTGATCCACAGCTCCTTTCTAGCTAAAGGATGCTCACGTTTTCCAGGGGAGGATGGAAGATGTCAGGCTGGGCACTGCACGTCCAGGGAGGAAAAGGTGACCTGCCCACGGCAGTGGCTGGTGGGTGCCAAGGATTGGGACAACCACGCTCTGTCCCCTTAAATCCTACCCTTTCGGGCCCCCAAAAACTCAGAGGCACGTGGGGTGAGGGTGATCCCTCCAGCACTGGCACAGCTGTGCATCCCAAAGGACACCCCCCTCAAGCTTTTACCCTCCCAAAACAGTTCCCTCTGGGGTTTGTCCTCTGGGAAGGGGTGTCACAACCTCCCCGCCAGCCCTCAGCAAGTGGCATTCGCAACCCTCCCAAAAACCCCCTTTTTTCCCTGCTGGTTCCCGCCACTGAAGCTCATTGGCTTCCTGAAATGGGGGGGCTGGGGCTGCCCCCCGACCCATGCCCGGATATCTGGGTCAGTTTATCCCTCCACATTTCCAACCAACATCTGAAAGCGTTCTTTTCTTGGCAGAAGCGATTAGAGGGGGGGTTTTTGCTTTTGGGGCCTCGGCGCGGTCGCGCCGGCCCCTCCTGCCTGTGGCTCCCCTTCCCTGTCTTTTGGGGTGCCGAGCCCTGTTGGTCTCCCCTTGGCGTGAATTCTGGGGTTCCCCCTTCCCCAGTGCTGCTCTTCTGCAGGATAAACCAATTTTTCCCGAGGTGTGGCACGTGGGACAGGGTGGATGGCCATGGGAGCAGCTGCTGCCGGGGATGGGGGGGTGGGGTGTGCGAGGTGTGCACGCAAACACTTTTGGGGCCCATCTCCGACTTCAGGGGACCGGGAGAAGTTTACTTATCCAGCTCATTTCCATATGTCCCGGCTCCCCTCTCAGAGGCCACCATATGTGCAGCAGTGCAGGGCAGCGCTCGGGGTTTTTCCCAGCGTGGCTCAATCTCCCCCGTGGATGCCTCGGAGCGCCGCGCGCGGTTGGTTTCTCTCCCGTGTTTTTTTTTTTTCCCCCCTTGCCTCCCTCCTCGTGGTCCATCAGGCATCACCCGATCGCAGCCCTCTCCTGCCTCCATCTCCTTCTGTCCACCACGGATGGAACTAAACTCTCCAGCCTCCCCAAAATCAGCAGCATCCCTGCTCATTCCCAAACCAACCTTAGCGGGCTGGAAAGCAAAGCTGGCTTTCAAACAGAAAAGCGAGTGCGAGAGCCGAGGTGGTGGTGGTGGGGAAAAAAATCATCTCTTTTCAGGAACCTACGTTAGATTGCGGAAAGGGGAGAGATAATTAGGCACGGTAATCCGGCAGGGCATGGAAATGTGTACCAACACCCAGCTCCTGCAGCTGTTTGTATTGTCAGCCCTCTTCAAAATTTGCCCACAAACAAGTGCCTTTGCAAGACGGGAGCATTATTTCGGGCAAGAATGGGCTTTTTGTTCGGCACATAATTAGCTGATTTTTTTCCTCCCGGAGAAAAAAAAAAAACCAAAACGTCGGCGATCTCTGATTGTCGGGGGGAGCAACCGGAGCGTGATTGTGCCTGGGAAGTGTAACAGGCGTGAGAGAGGCGAGGGACAAGGCAGGGCAAGCAGGGGAGCCCCCGGAGGGACCCCCGCTGCCACAGGGACACGCCAGGAGCCTTTCCCAAGGGGTCTAAATCTAAATGTATCGTGGAAAATCAACGCTTTGGAGGGTCATGCTCGGCTGGGGAGGAGCCCCCTTTTTTCCCCCCCCTGGGCAGCCTGGCTGGGCCGTGGTGGTGGTGATGGTGCAGAGCAGGTCCCCCACATGGACCCAGCTTGAAATGTGGCACCAAAATGCTGCTGCAGGAGGGCTCCCGAGCCACCTGAACCAGGGAATGCTGAAGAGCAGGCGGCTCCTGGCAGGTTTTGTCCCAAAAAGCCTTCTCAGGAGAGGAGCAGCAGATAATGTGGAGGCATCCTTGAACTGGGTAGATTTTGGGGGGGGGATGTCTGTGACTCTGGTGGTCTCGTGGCTGGGGGGAGAGAGCGTGGGTTAAATAAACCCCCAAATCGGGGTGGGGAGGGAAGTGGAGAAGTGAAAGAAAGGAACCATGAAGGAAGAGGAGGAGTGGGATGTGCCTGAGCCCTTCCATGTGGGATTCCACAGGGTGCCAGAGGTCAGAGCATCCCTCCACCTGGGCCGGGGATCCAGTGGCTGCTCCCAGCCCTTTGGGCACCCCCAGGCTGTTTGCAGGGAGCTGTGCTGGGGCTTTCCATGGACCACATGGGATGGCGTCTGTCCTCCCATGGGGCTCCGGGGTGCTGTGCTGGCAAGGGGCGTTATTTGGAGGAGGGTCTGTGCTGCTGCTGGTCCCCCGAGGTCAGTGAGGATGGAGGATGGGGCGGGGGCAGCTCTGTTTTCCAGCAGATCTCGATAGCAGTGACTTTATCTAAGCCAAAACTCAGGCTCGCAAAGGCTCTGCCGAGCTGATTCTTGCATCCGCTGGGGAAATTTTAATTGCGTGGGAAACGTCACCAAAATCATCTCACCCCGCTGAGCTTTTCAAGTGATTTTTTTTTTTTTTTCCCCTGGGAAAGGGGGGTCAGCAAGAGGGGAGACAGGGAACAGAACTACTCCCCAAAAATCCGTGTGTATTTAACGATGTAGGGATTTAGGCGTGAGCACTCAATTAGGGATCTCCATCCTACCCCCCATCACCCCTGCGGGGAAAGGGGACACGGTTTCGTGCGTGGCTGAGGGTTCATTTCAGCGGTTCGGGGCTGCGGGAACCGGGAGTAAGAGGGATGGGGACGTGGGAGGGCAGGATTTTCCCGGGAATAGGGATGCGCATGGAAGCGCGCCCGCAGCGGGACGCGACCCCCGCCCCACTCGTGCCCGCCGGGAACCCCCTCCCGCCTCCCCCTTCGCTTCCCAACCGGGGTAAAAAAAAAAAGGCAAACCAAAACAAAAAACAATCCCCAAACCACTCATTCGTCGCTTAATCCCATTAACTCCTTCGCGTGCTCCCATTTGAACTCTTTCCAGCCCCCCCTCCCTTTTCCCCCTTTCTTCCTTTTTTTTTTTCTTTTTTTTTCAACAAACTCGGAGGCGCTCGGGATTTTCGAGTAAAAAAAAAAAAAAGAGGATAAGAGGGTGAAAAATAACACTGCGCAGGTAAATAGGAGAAAAGAAAAGGAAGAAAAAAAAAGAAAAGAGAAAACCCCCTGACTTCCATAATCCCGGCTCATATC